CCTGGCTCCCTGAAAATGTACTAGACTCTATTTTAAAAAGCCATATAGCTAAAAGTTACTCTTAGCAAATGCAATGACTCTTTTTTACCTTCCAAAAGAAATATGAATAGTTTATACTACTTGCAGACAAGAAGATAACCAAGGGCAGGACTACCTAATGTCAGTAAGGTATCACAGGAAACCCAGGGGCTGACAATGAAGGCCCTTGAATAAGCAGGTCACAAACTTAAACTTGTATACTTTACACTAAGAAAATACAGGTGAAACACCTAGTATGTGCCCAAAGTCTATACTTACTACATCTGTGGCAGTTCCCTTTCTTTCTTTCACTGGGATTTCCTCACATCCCCCACTCAGATACCCTTTGTTAAAATATAGAAAAAAACAATTAAAATTCGGTTTTCATACCACGAGGAGAAAAAGAAGGCAAAAAGAAGGTATGTTATAAAAAATTAGCACATTAGCAATAGCAGGAAATAACAGCTTTGTGTTGAGAGAGAAGAAAGTTAAAATAAGCAGGTTCATTAACTAAAAATCGTTAACAGTTGAGGGTCATTTATTTTAAGGGTAGATGGCTCGGTGGTAAAGAATCTACCCACCAATGCAGGGGACATAGGAAACTAAGATTCGATCTCTAGGTCGGGAAGATCCCCTGGAGAAGGAAATGGCAACGCACTCCAGTATGCTTGCCTGAAAAATTCCATGGGCAGAGGAGCCTGGTGGGCTACAGTCTGTGGGATCGCGGAGTTGGACACCACCAAGTGCCTCAGCACACAAGGTGGTCCCGTTTCGCAGTGATCTCCAGCGATCTCTGCGTTAGCGCCAGTGTGAACAACTCTTACTAATAATCATGTCCCAAGACATTGTGAATAAGGAGAACTGTGTCCAATACACTTAATATGAAAGGGGAGTCATAGTTTTAGAAAGTTTCAGCTGTCTGGAATATGTAACTGACTAGAATATCTCATTCATTGATGATGTCTATCATCTCTCCTCAAACCAGTTGTTCCCATTTCACTGAGTTTATACCCTTGCTACTCAAAATGTGGACCTTGGGTCAACACCATGGCACCACCTAGAAGCTCTTTAACACTGCAGAATCTCAGGAGCCACCCAGACCTGCTGAATCAGAACGTTCTTTTTAACCAGATTCTCAGAGTTTGGTAGGACATGTATCACCTGGCTCCTTACCTTCTATGTGTCTCTTTCTTGCTCTCTCAGCTCCAGTCACCCAGGTTTCTTTCTACTCCTCATGTATTCCACACCGTCTCCTCAGGGCATTTGCCTCAGCTGTTCCCTATATAGCATTCTGCCTATAATGTTCTTCTCCTAGACATCCATGTGGCTAATTAGCTTACCACCTTCAGGTCTTCTCTGTGAAGTGCTCTCTGACCACCCTGTTTAAAAGGAAACCATCCTCCATCCTCGTCCTCCATGCTTTGGCCACCCCCAATCTCCCTTGCTGTATTTTCTCCCCTATAACACTTCACCTTTCTAACATCCCATACAACTGATTTAGGATTATGCTTATTGTTTACTGTCCCTATTCTAGAATGTCTCTTTGCCAGAATGTAGCATCATGAAGCTAGGACTTTTTGACTGTGTTGTTCCTTGATGTGTCACACATGACCAGAACAGTGCCCATGAAGTGTGGTCTACAGGCTGACTCTTGCCTCTGGTCTCAACTAGATCACTGAAGAAATTTAGAGTAGTTTAAGTTAGAGTAAGAAATTTAGAAAAGTATAAATCAATTTGATATTGACGCAACACCTAAATGGGCGATTATTTACCTATTAATTCATTTCACTGTATTTTACAAAAATAGCAGGTTGTGCAATTTGGAAATTAAAAAATCCAACTCCAATTTGGTCTCCCCCTGCCCCCAATATGGTCTTTTAAAAAATAGTTTGAGAAGCACTGGCCTAGGAAAGTTCCTGGCATTTAGTAAGTGTTAATAATTGTTTGCTCAAGAAATAAAAAGAAGAACAAATACCTAAAGAATAAACTTTTACATAGTAAAGGACTGCTGCAGTCCACAGTGTCGCAGAGTCGGACACAACTGAGCAACTGAACTGAGTAAAGGCAAATCAGGTTTGTACATACGTCTGTCAGTCCAATTAAATAATTTCTGCTTGGATTAGTGGCAAGGTGATTCATGTTATGTACTTCCTCAATATACTGTGCTTTCCTGTCCCATGTGAAAAATACAAGGCTCAAATGATCAATGAAGGAAATTTCTGAGACTCTCTGACTAACTGAAGATAGCCTTTGTCCAAGCCCCACATTTGGACACTTTTTTGCCTGGCTGTTCTGAGCAAAGCTGGCCTGATTAAGTAAATTGCTGAATTCTAAGGTCAAGAGGAATCTGATTTATAAAATGCTTTTTCCTGCCCAAACCTTCCTTCCCTCTCCCCCTGTTCAGAACAACAACAAAATGAAATGGCTTGGATCTTGTAAACTTGTTCCACTGGTATGCTATACCTCTTTGGGGGCGTTAAGAGACCATGGACAGAGGAGTCTGGCGGGGCACTGTCCATATCACAAAGAGTCAGACACGACTGAGCGACTAAGCACAGCACAAGAGACCTTTATTTTGTTCCAGGATTGTTAGAAGTACAGTTTAAAACTTCTCTGACTCATTTACTTGAGTTTTATTTTATTCTTGCTTCCACTATATCCTATCACAGTTGTGAATGCTTAAGAATTCAATTTGGGGACCCAGGCTAGTTTGCAAGGACAGAATTTGGAAATGAAAAGATGTGGTTCTAGAGAGTTTAAAATCTAGTAGATGCATGAAAATAACTAATACAGGAAGGATCTGATAAGTAGTAAAGGAAAGTAAAAGCACTCAAGGAGAGCCATGGTGGACTCTGAAGAATGGAGGGGAATTCAAGAATGAACAGTGAGGCAGAGGCAACAGCATGAACAAAATCACAGAGGAGAGAAAGAACACACTTGGCATGCATGGAGGGTAGAGGGTAGTTTGGTATTCCAAAGCACAAAATGAAGGAGAGAGATCAGTGAAGACAGAGCTAGAAAGGAAGACAGGAAGAGCTAGAACAGAGACGCCCTTGTACGTTGTGCCAAGAAGCTTAAAGTTGATGCTAGAATAATAGGGAGCCACTGGAGATTATGGTGGAAGAGAAAGTTATGATTAGGGAATGCTTTAGAGCTCCTCAGATATCCATGCATGAGGCAAGTTGAGAGAGGAAAAGAAGCAGTTAGGATACAGTTTACAAGAGTTTAAGGAGAAGTCATGGTGATGGTGGCAAACCAGAGAAACCTCTAGGTGGGAAGGAAGGAGCAATTGTGACAGGAAGTACAAATGAACATTTGCAGCAACTTATTAATAAGTTTGACTTTTGCAGACACTTATCTAGAGACAAGGAAAGATGATTATAATCCAACATGTCTCTTCAGTAGTTAATTCAAAATGCAATGTATTTTTACTTCTCCTAAACAATACCACCAAAACTTGATGCCTCAAAATAAGAACTTTATTTCTCGACCCATTTTTCATACTTAACTTTGCATTTGTATAATGTCAATAGCATAAGCACCATTGCAACATCTGACATAACAGTGTGCCATTATGATGAGCCAGACACCATGCTGTGCCCTTTACTTCTACTAGCTTATTTAATCCTCAATACAACCTTCTGGCTATGAATTACCATTTCCCTCATCTTACATGTGTAAGTACTGAGGTAAGGAATTGTTACATAAAGCTATGTAACAGGAAAGCAGAGATTTGCATCCAGGCAGATCTGACTCCAAAGGCAGAATCTGTGCCTTTGGCTATTCAATTATGCTTTAAAAATTTCTTTTTACATGTATTTTAAAGTAGAATGCTAGAAGAGAATAAAGACCAGATGGAGCAAATGGAAAACAAATAGCAAGATGACTGATATAAACCAAAATATGTCAACAGTCACATTAGATGTAAATGGTCTAAACATCCAAATTAAAAGGTAGAGATTATCTGTCTGGATAGTGAAAAATGCCAACCAAATTCTTGCATAATAGATTCTATTCCACCACACAATCTTTTTCCTCAATTTTCATTTTTGCACCACTCTTACCCTTACCTCATTGTGGCCTTATTCCTGAATATTATCTGGCTGTGAGGAAATTAGTCCATTGGACAGATTTATCATTTTCTGCATGTTTATTTAAAAGGTTCTGCTATAATACACTAATCCTCTCTCATCTCTCTTGAAGAGTTTAAGTTTCATATGGACTAAAGGTCCTAACACATATAGTACACATTTTCCACTTCATATTTTACCATTTTGTCACTGAAAAACAGACTAAGAATAAACTTTGAGAAATCTAAGAAACTACTCTATATAGCAGAAAAATAAATGAGGTCAACAGTACAGTAGTTTCTTAGTATTAGTATTTTAAGTTGAAAAGATTTCTTCCTTGGGAATGATCCAAAATGTGTTTAGTATTTTCTGGTTCATAAATATTTCTTATGATCTTGCTTCTAGGTTTATCTTCCAGAAGTATTGATTATAGCCACTCATAACACCCCAAACTGACTTTTACCATATTCTGTAGCAAGAATTTAGAAAGGGGGCAAAAAATACCATTTTCCATGAGTGTGGCAAGATGTCTGTATTCTTGCTAAAAGAATAGCCATGTTGCCAAAAGGGCAGAACTACTCTCTAAATCCATATTCTTTACCAAGCCCTAGATATTTACTCTGAACTATTTGCTTCACTGAAAGCTGGTCAGTTGTCTATCTTCCCTTTAAGAAAATAAAGTTTTGTTTTGTTTTTTTAAATATGGAATGCTTTGCAAATTGGCATGCCATCCTTGCACAGGGGCCATGCTAATCTCTGTACCTTTCCAAACTTAGTATACGTGCTGTTGAAGTGAGCACAAGAAAGTTTTAAAGGAGTTTCTTAATTTAGGCTTCTTACAGGTAAAGGGAAAAGTATGGTCTTTAATATTCATTTTTTTCCTTCAGAAAAAGTAAACAAGTGGCACAGGTAGGTAGTAAACTGCTACTTTTAATGAAAGTTTTGTTTCCAGTCTTTAAGGCTTTCCATATCTGAATTTTCTGCTAACATTAGCCCATACTAGTATCAGAGTACTGCCTTCTACACAGTCCTGTCTAAACAACTCATTAAAAAGTACACAAGCATGCAAATAGTAGAAATAGCTTGCCATTCAAAATGTTCTTCTTACCAGATTTTGCAGGGGCTCCCCTCGAGGGACTCAGTCCTGGGCAATCTGGAGCAGCATGGCATATCTGAGAAGACAGAGAATCAGTCCCAGAAACTGAGTGCTTCAGAAAGACCCAGTAAAATAACTATTATTTTTATCCTCTGATGAGGCAGCCTTAAGAACTTGGCTTCCATTTAACTAACGGACCCTGAACTTCAATCGTACCAGGGAAAAATTTAAGTACATTGGGGTCATGTGGTGAGTTGCTCACGCCTTACAGTAGAATTGAGTGGAGGGCCTCTCCTTGGGGCAATTAACTGCAAAGTCTCAACACCTTTGCCTCATCCATTTATTTCTTCCTCTGAACAAGCCAACCTAGCCCCCTTGTAGATTAATTACAGTCTGTAGGAAAACAGCTTGTGCTGCTTTTCTCCTATACTTAATTTTTATCCCTGAGAAAGAAAAAAGAAAACCTATAGGAAGGTATTAATCTACTTAACATTTCTAAGTACATCATCCAAAGGATTTTGTTTTTTTAATCTTACATATGCTCAGCAGAGTTACTGGCAAAAACTGTACATTTTCTTCATTTCATCCTTTCAACATCAAATAGTAGGCAGCAAAAATTGGATCAGACTTCAAAGCCTGCTGTGGGCTCCAAGTCACAGAGAGACGCCTCCATTTCACATATTGAATTCGAGCAGGATATCAAAGTGCTACCAAAGAACCTCAGGTCCTTACTCAAAAAGAGGCTCTAACATCTGTAGAGAGTGGAGTGCACAGACGAACCACCTCAGGGATCAGCTAGCATTTATTCTCAGCAGCAAATTTCCAGGCTTTTGATTCTCTCTTCACTGTACCTCCCTGTCTCTCTGCTGAACCAAAATTCTTAAGCAAGCTGGGCTTTTGTCTCAAAGCTTTCAAAATATCACTAACAGTTCATGTCTGGATGGCTCAACCAAGCAGCCACAGACAGGCACCATGACCACAGACTTGGACGAGTCTATAATAAGGACAGACAGTTACTTCAGAGTCAAGGATGTCCAGCTACCTTATTTGAGTGTCCTGCGAAGACATCACACCCTTTGGAAGAACTCTGGGCTTGTGAATGCCTAAAAATAAAAATATAATAATAATTATAATAATAATATTTTTAGAAGGCTTGAAAACTATAATTAAAAAAAAAAAAACTTACAGAGGATTGCTTTCCTCCAAAGATGGATCAGAACAAACTCTCATTAAGCATCTATTGTATTCCATTCCAATCCTTGGTTAGAAGGACATGGGCAACTTAAGGAAATGTATCCTGTCAGGTGCGGCTCATACACCCACAGTCAGCCTGAGATCCTAAGACCCAAGAAACTGCCCTGTTTAAAATCGTGTGATTTAATCTACTTTACTACTGGATGTTCACAAAATTTTGCAGGGGCTCCCCTCGAGGGACTCAGTCCTGGGCAATCTGGAGCAGCATGGCATATCTGAGAAGACAGAGAATCAGTCCCAGAAACTGAGTGCTTCAGAAAGACCCAGTAAAATAACTATTATTTTTATCCTCTGATGAGGCAGCCTTAAGAACTTGGCTTCCATTTAACTAACGGACCCTGAACTTCAATCGTACCAGGGAAAAATTTAAGTACATTGGGGTCATGTGGTGAGTTGCTCACGCCTTACAGTAGAATTGAGTGGAGGGCCTCTCCTTGGGGCAATTAGCTGCAAAGTCTCAACACCTTTGCCTCATCCATTTATTTCTTCCTCTGAACAAGCCAACCTAGCCCCCTTGTAGATTAATTACAGTCTGTATGAAAACAGCTTGTGCTGCTTTTCTCCTATACTTAATTTTTATCCCTGAGAAAGAAAAAAGAAAACCTATAGGAAGGTATTAATCTACTTAACATTTCTAAGTACATCATCCAAAGGATTTTGTTTTTTTAATCTTACATATGCTCAGCAGAGTTACTGGCAAAAACTGTACATTTTCTTCATTTCATCCTTTCAACATCAAATAGTAGGCAGCAAAAATTGGATCAGACTTCAAAGCCTGCTGTGGGCTCCAAGTCACAGAGAGACGCCTCCATTTCACATATTGAATTCGAGCAGGATATCAAAGTGCTACCAAAGAACCTCAGGTCCTTACTCAAAAAGAGGCTCTAACATCTGTAGAGAGTGGAGTGCACAGACGAACCACCTCAGGGATCAGCTAGCATTTATTCTCAGCAGCAAATTTCCAGGCTTTTGATTCTCTCTTCACTGTACCTCCCTGTCTCTCTGCTGAACCAAAATTCTTAAGCAAGCTGGGCTTTTGTCTCAAAGCCTTCAAAATATCACTAACAGTTCATGTCTGGATGGCTCAACCAAGCAGCCACAGACAGGCACCATGACCACAGACTTGGACGAGTCTATAATAAGGATAGACAGTTACTTCAGAGTCAAGGATGTCCAGCTACCTTATTTGAGTGTCCTGCGAAGACATCACACCCTTTGGAAGAACTCTGGGCTTGTGAATGCCTAAAAATAAAAATATAATAATAATTATAATAATAATATTTTTAGAAGGCTTGAAAACTATAATTAAAAAAAAAAACTTACAGAGGATTGCTTTCCTCCAAAGATGGATCAGAACAAACTCTCATTAAGCATCTATTGTATTCCATTCCAATCCTTGGTTAGAAGGACATGGGCAACTTAAGGAAATGCATCCTGTCAGGTGCGGCTCATACACCCACAGTCAGCCTGAGATCCTAAGACCCAAGAAACTGCCCTGTTTAAAATCGTGTGATTTAATCTACTTTACTACTGGATGTTCACAAACATTACCAAGTAGCCAACCATGATGCTAAGGCTGAACTTCCAATCCAGCACCTTAATCACATTGTTAAATAATTCAAAATAGATCTTTTAGTCAAACAAGTTTGGGGAATGCTAAGATGTGTGTAGTTTAAGAGGTTTCCTTACTGCAGAATGATCTTTCACAATCACAATATGCATTTAAGGGTTTCTAATATGGGGTGTGTGTGGGGGGAGAACTCAGTTCCCTAAATTACTTTGAGCAAGAAATTTAAAAAGTGATAATTAACATCTATTTAAATACTGTTTCATGGAGCAAAGTTTAGAAAAATCAACTTGTATAAAAAATCCAGAAATTGGAATACATGGTATAAAAGTGTGATGAGGGTCTTCCTTGGCAGTCCAGTAGTTGAGACTCTGCACTTCCACTGCAGGGGGCATGGGTTAGATTCCTAGTAGGGGAATGAAGATCTCGTATGCTGCACATCACAGCCAAAAAACAGGAGAAATTATCATTCTTTAATGTTTAAGAGTGTGATGATTATAACTCACTCACTGCTAAAACTGGCTCTTACAATTCCTTTCAGATGGTAGCCAGGAGTATGGAAAGCACTGACTAGGCTAAGGGAAGTCTGGATATCTAAGTCCTGCTTCAAAATCCATCCTTTCTCTCTGAGTGTCTCTGTCTCTCTTACACATACACACAGGCATGCACATTTACACACATTCGATTGGGTAAATTTCTATGGTATTCTGGGTTCTAGTTTTCCTCATCTATAAAATGAGGGGATTAAAATAAGCTATTCCTAAGGACTCTCCTAGTTCTATCTTAAAAATCTTATTGTTTATTTAAGCTGAGCATTTCATTTTCTGAATTTCTGTGCATGGTTCATTAGTATTACCTTCAAAAATACATCTGTATATAGATTATAAGCAACGTATGTAAGTGCTCAGTCATATCCAACTCTTTGCCACTCTATGGACTGTAGCCCGTCAGACTTCTCTGTTCATGGAATTTTTCAGGCAAGAATACAGGAGTAGGTGGCCATTTCCTACTCCAGGTTATAAGCAATATACACATCTAAAAATACCATATCAATATCTGTGGAGAGGAAACTATGTTGATATATTTATTTGTATATATACTTGTTTGTCATATGTCTCCCACTATAGAATGTTAGATTCCAAGAAGGTAGGGGCATGGTCTGCTTTATTATGTACTCTGTATCAGCACTTAACCCTGTACCTAGTACACTATAAGTGCTCAATAAATATTTCACAAGTTGAATGAATAAAAGGATGACTAGTGGACTCTCAAAATATGGACCATGAAGAATACCCTTTACATTAAAATTAAATTAACTAGCACTTGTATAGTTTTCATATTTGAAAAATGTGTTTATATAGCTAATAAGGATTTCACAGCCATTTGAGCTAAGTGCTTTAATTGCCTGTATTATACAGATAAAGAAACTAGATCAGAGAGGGTAAGAGGTCTGCCCAGGGATCATGGCACATACCTGGCAGAGCTAAGACACTGACCCCTGTTAGTCTGACTCCAAATACTCTGCTCTTCCTCTGAAGAATGACACCCCCATGCCCTTGGGCCCATGGAACTCATTCCTGTCAGGTTAGGCAGGTCCCAGTGGCAGTGGGACATGTATAGAGAGGTGGATTCAGGTCTCCCAGGAGTCCTGGTGAGCTCTGGAGAAAATCTAAGGAAGAGAATTTGGCTGTTGAATTACCATGGGGTCTCCAATTTCTGCCTTTCCTGCCCCAACAAAAGAATGAAACCTTTTAACTCCTCTAGTTTGCAAGTATTTTCAGGACCCAAAGGTCAGTGCACATACCTTCCAACAATACACTGAGGGTTGGCTCATCAGTTTGACTACCTTGTCATTCAAACCTTTGGGAGGATCTAACGCATCTCAATATAATTTTTACATGTGTTACTTGGTTTTAAAAGGCAAAGGTAGGATGAGTAGTGTCCAAAAGCAAACAGATTAGAAAATACTTGATTAAACAAAGTTAAGCAGGTTTCTTTCCTAAGAAGATTTCCAGAATCTTTAACTTAATAATATGCACAATGAAATCTCAAGAGTAGGAGAGAACAGGCAGCATTTCCCAGACATTATCCTGACAATGGAAGCCTCCCTTCACTGGGGCATGTTGAGGCCCTGGTTCTCACAACACATCTTAGAAAACACTAATCTGAGCAGCCCTTATTTGAAACAACTTCCAATATGCCTTAAAAGAAAAAAAAAAGGGTATAAGTCACTTTTCTTCAAAAGTCTATAACTGCCTCAACTCTTTTGCAGCAATTTTATCAGCTATCTTGTCATTTGCCTCAGGGACTTGAACCTGGCAGCAAATGGATAACACTTTGCAAGTTGTCATCACCAAAACACAGTCAATACTTATTGCCTGCATACATGCCACCATGGTCAAAGCATGGATACATGGTTATTTCATCTAATACTTTCAACAACCATGTGGATTAGTTCTATTTTTATACCCATTTTACAGGTGAGGGAATTAAGGATCAAGAAGCTAATGACTCCCTGGTGGCTCAGCTGGTAAAGAATCCATCTGTGATGCGAGAGACCTGGGCTCAATCTCTGGGTTGGGCAGATCCCCTGGAGAAGGGAAAGGCTACTCACTCCAGCATTCTGGCCTGGAGTATAGTCCATGGGGTTGCAGAGTCGGACACAACTGAGCAATTTTCACTTTCAAGCTAATGACTTGTTTAAATGTCATAACTAGTAAACAGTGCAGCATAAAACCTGCCTACATAAAAAGGAGACTCCAAAGGGAAATTACTTATTCAGATACAAATTATCAATTACTGATAAAATGACAGACAAATGGTTGATGGTGAATAGGACGTGTAATATGGTGCCAAAGCACCACCATACAGATTCCTTCTTTAGGTCACAAGGAGAGTAAGGGAACTGCATATTGGATATTTATACCACCTCAATTCAGTGCCAATCGTAGCACCACTAATGCCCACACAATACTGTCTTGCGATGTGAGACAATATATGAAATATTCAACATCACCCAGGATACTTATATTTTTTCATTTAGTTAAAAATTTAACTTTAATCAAAGCTTTTAGACCTAATGTATAGTCTATCTAAAACACAGTATAGAGGGGGAAAACTAGGACTGCAAAAAATCAAGCAGGCAAACATAGAAGATGAGTTATTTTATGGGATAACTGGTTCATTCTTCCAACAAATCACTGTCATGAAAAAGGGGAGTCTTATATATTAATAGAAATTTAGGAGACATAACAACTTGATATAATGTAATGTCCTACATTAGATCCTGACTTGGACAAACAGGTATGAAGGACAATTCTTCAAAAAACTAGGAAATTTTGATTGGTATTAGATGATAATAACAAATTATTTATTTTAAAGCATGGTATTATTTTGAACCTGTGGGAGAAATTTTTTGAAATAACACATTGTTCTCAGCCTCAGTGATCTGACGCTAAGTGATAGAGGCAGTCCATTTGGTTATCAAAGGGTGGTGAATAGGAGGTAGTTGTGTCTCTGGAAATGATCCACTGCATATTTCCAGGGATCCTGTACCCTCTCAGAAGCCATGACTAAAGTCTCAAGCAGACTGCCTCAAGGGCTTGGCCATTCCACTGCTTTACTGCAGTCAATTCATTGAATTGTGGGTTCTTGGGGAGATGAAAACTCTGTCACCATTGAAAACCCTTCTGCTCGGTCTCTCCCTTGAATAAGCCCCCCAAACAAACTCAAATCTAATTCTCTTTTCTTAAACCAATCCCAATGCAACCGGATGAGAGGCAGGGTGAAGGCTGGCTCTCGAGCACATGGCTGCTGAGAATGCCACAGCATCTCTGTTGTGCAGCAAAGATCCATGAGGCCAGCTGGCTTTGTCATGCTGGGCTGGCAGCACTAGGTGAAGTCACCTTGGTCCAAAACTGGGTCTCAGCTTTGCAGCCTCCAAAAATCAGTCTGCCAGTTCTTTGAGGGGCAATGTATTTTTAGGAGCTGAGTTGTACTAACCAAACTCAAAAGAGTCATATTTGAAAAGTAGAATGCTATTGTGTGACTTTACAGTGAGTACAATAATCTGGACCAAACTTTCCCCCTGACTAGTTCATTGTTATACTCTGCAGACCAAAGTATACATTAGAAGGAAAACAAAGGAAGCAGGGAGCTCTTGGAGGATCTGACCAATCAGGCTGGTCTTACAACTGGCCTTTTTCAACTTTAGGGTTAGAATCAATCACTTTTTTCTTAGAAAGGAATAGAGACCTGCTGGCTACTCTTTGACTTGCCATTTTCTAGATTTCATTTAAATTTCTTTGTGCAGTTTTTATTAATTTTGACAAAACTTGCAAGATTGTGTCTTATATCAATTATAATGTAGAATGGTGTCTAGAACTGAGAAACCCACTAGTTGTTCACTAATGAAAAAATTAGTCATTCACTTACAAGCATATTCTATTTTAAAGCAGCTTATTTTGAAATTAAGGTTGAATAACCTTAATTCCTGCAATCTCTGAATAAGATGGCAGTTATTCATTGTGGGTAGATTTTTCTTAGCTTCCTACTGTCTTCAGATTTGGGAATAGTTCCTGGAACCTCTTGTCTTACTTGGTAGCCCTGGGAGAAAGGCTAATCAACATAACCAAGCAAATTTGTTCCTGCCTCTTTGATAACTCTGAGAAAAAAC